TGAAATGAGACATGATGGGCATTAAACACTTTAGAACTGATAATTGCCTATGAGACACTGATGCTCAACCACTTCTGGTATGCTCCAAGAACTGTATCAAACTCAAAGACTTACTTTATACTGGTTAAAAACCTGGAAAGGCTTTTATAATAGTAGCACTATTCTGAATGCACATGAGTGCAAACAAGATCAAGACATGGTGGAGTGAAATTATTTGTATTCACAAAAATGCAACTCGAACAAACTAAGAATTTTATACAAGAATAAAAAAGGAGGTCTAACATGGTGAAACACACACTTTAAGAGAAAACTGTAATCACAAAGACAGTAAAGGCAGCTAAAAAAAGCAAAACACAAGATAGGAGATCGAAGCAGATAGTCCAATTTTTTTTTTCCATGGTTTATAGCCTCTGTAGATATACCGCCTGCAAAATAAAACAGGCTAGTCTTAAGGAAACACTCTTATTTCCACTTTCTCGGATATAAAATGTAACTCTTTTAATGCCCACTCCAAATTTGGCCTAAGAAAGGCTGTAATATTTTGCATCAATGTGATTTTGGTTATAGAAAGGTAAAATACAAACTCCATTTATTATCTCAGTCTAGCCCTTAAGATATTCAGTTCATCATACAACCTCTGTGGTTATCCTTCTCCTGATTCCAATTGTTCTTCTCTCTCTGCTCAAATAACATGGCATTGCAGCATGGAACTGTAGTTTTGGAGGCAGTCTCCAGGAGACTTTGTACAGAAGAGCCAGAATTGTCTCTACAACCATAAAACCCAAACACAGACTTTGGCCAACCACAATATAACTGAAGAAATTTGGCAGAACGTATGCATACATTTTCTTCCGTTTATACTCATTCTCACTTAGCAATGCCATCTCTAACTCAGGGAAGACTTTCTTATACTTATTGCTTAAGAATCAGAATGTTCTACATCAAATCCTGTAGCCTTCAGTTGCAGCCTGGTGCTAAGTGATGGATCCCCATTAGCTTGGGACCACTTAAGCAAAAACTTCTCCCAAAATCAGTAGCATTTTTGCTCAAGCCTAGAGTTTACTTTTTACAAGCAATTCAGAAACTGGACCAGTCTCACAACACTATTCTGAAGAGCCAGAGGTAAGATGACAGTTTACCATACACATCAAAATGAAAGATTGCAGAATAAACCAGCAGTGCATATGGAGGGTGATTTCTCTCTCCATAGTCATCACAAGAATGATATTCGTCATCACCTGCAGCTGTGTTCTTCTCCCCATTTGACCTCTATGAAGATTTTTGCATGTTACAAATCACAAAATAGGTGTGGTAGTGTAAGGTGAATGAACATATAGAAACATTTAACCACAACTCATACATGTAGTCTTTTAAGCATCCATTGTGGAATGCAATTTTCTGGTACAGGTTTGGACTTGGTGCTTTGAATGAACTGTCAGGGGGAAAAAGAAAAATCTCATAAGGAGCTATTTGATGCTATAACAACACTGCCTTTCCATGTGCTACAGTCTGTTCATACAAACACCTCATGCTTCCTATACGACACTGATCTGAATGATATGCCATCCGTTTTTGCAGGGCTGCCAGCTTATAATTCATTATAAATCAGGAGAGAAAATAGTTTCAGAGGCTGTAATTTTTGTCATATAAAAACAGACGCCTTAGTCAATAAATTTCCATAATGTCTGAAAGACTCATAATTAAAAAATGAATCCAAACAGAACAACCATAAATTAAACAAGCAAATACGTAACTTGTTAATAAAGTACCTTTTTTGATTTTTAATTTTACAAATAGAAAGATATTACCAAGAAAACTCCAGAACATAAATGATATTCAAAAAGTAGACAAACTATTAAAAAGTCTCCTTAGCAGAGTACGAACCACTTTTACAATCTTTAAAAATAACATCGGATCTTGATAAACCATAGCCAATTTTAAAACAATGATCACTAGGTGGCTTTTGCAACCTGTTATCACCAACAGAACAACAAGGAAAGTGTGAGGAGGTCAGAATCCAGTAGATAGCATCCAAAATAAAGTCTGTGACTGGAATATCCAGAAAGGCCCCAGAAAAAGAGGTCTCCCCAATATTCTTCCAGGAACACCACTGCCACTTTTATTATTATTAAATATAATTGCTCCTGAAAAAGACAAGTTGCTAAATATACGTAAAATAAATTACCTTAACATTGGTCTTCCCTGTTTTAATAATATTTTCTCTTTCTCCTACAATTTGCTTTAAGTATTTGCATTTTTAAAACTTTATTATCAGTTTAATTTGCTTTCATAGCTCTGATCTACAAATTTACTTTGTCCCATATTTCTATTATAATTTGATCCATACTGCCTTGTTTGTCTTCACGCTTGAAAATGGCCTAATGGAAGGCCAAGGTTTTGAAGAAAGGAAGATGGAGAGAGTCTTTGAACATGACAGCACAAAGCACGTGGTAGTTTTCAGTCAGTTACAAAAGATCTTGGTCTCACGGAAAGCTTGCATGCATTTTGCTAAGAGGTCCTATATGGTCTTGCATTTTAAATGTCATTTCAAGATGCACCTTTCATTTCAGATTTCGACTTTTTCCAAAATAATTCCGATGTAAGCTCACTTCGGTGACTTTGAACCATAAACCAGAGGTAACAAAGTCTTACAGACATTCAAGAAGCCAATAACACTTTAAAAAGTTCCTCTTCGACTTTTCTATTGTGTATAACAGCATGAGACTCAGACTACATTCTTTATTTGAACATTTAGGTAGAGTCAGTGATATATAGGATGAACAGTAACACCATACCCAGAAGAGCACAGCAGCATGCCTTTGCTCCTCATGAATGACTCGCAAATCCTCCTAATCCATCCTGACCACAAAAGAACAAGAGAAATTAAGGCTGAACGAGTTCTATATTTACTGCTAGTGAACATCTTCAGGGATGAAATTGGCCAAAACTACACAGGAAGCTGTCACCAGGGCTTTTAGCATTAATATCAGCCACAATTAATAGCTTTGATTTAGATATCTGAAATAATCTGAAACTAGCATCATGCCATTCAGAGTAGGTCAAACAAAATATATTGGGAGGAAGCAGAAAAACTTTCATTCCTTTCCAAAACTGACTGGAAAGAGAAAGTAATGAACTTTTTTTTTTTTTTTTTTTTTAAATGAATGCTTACACCTCAGGTTCAATTTGTTTCAGTCTATACAGCAAAACTGCTTATAATGTTAAAGAAAAAAAGATCATTCATTAAAAAGTTTGTTTGGACTCATTTTTAAGGGTAGAGTTGATAATATTTGAGACCAAGGCATAGAGAAAAACTACGTGCCTTCATCATTAATGTTGAAAAGACTCATTGTGCAAGTTCTTATCTTAATGCAGGACTAAAATTTCCTTTTTGCTACTTGTGTTCGTTTCACCTCTTCCTTCCACTGAGTACCACAAAGAAGAGCCTGACTTCCATTTTCTCTCTAACATCCCATTAGGCAGCCAAGAGCAACAAGATCCCATCTTAGACTTCTTTTTTTAAGACTGAACAAATTCATATCTCTGCACCTCTCCCCACATGCCAGGCATACTGTTCTCCAGTTAATTGACAGCATTTTTCACATCTTGTATTATAACATCTGAAGAATAGAAATTCTCTTGCTCAGTTATATCCAACCACTTTTACTTGATGTGCATTACAGAATTCCAACCCATTAGGCTTAGCATTGTTCATTTTTACAAAGTCTTCTGGTGGTGTTTTTGTTTTGTTTTTAAGACAGCAAGAAAAAGTGTTTTTCTTAAAAAAAAATGCCAGGATTTGATCTCACTTTCATTCCAGCACAAAACATAAACTAAATATTTGGATATATCACAAAAAGAGAGAAACCAGAATTGGTGACAGTCCAATGGCTCAAGGTCATATTCTAGTCCATTCAAATGAATCTGAATTTTACAATAAAATTCAAAATAAAACAACTTAAAATGATGGAATGAGTACTAGCCCTGACTCTTGTTTCAGAACCACCCTGCAATATACCCAGTGCTTCAACATGATTCTGAACATGACAAATTCCAGCAGCAGATACAGACCCTCAGACATTAGGTCTCTCTTTACTTATATCTTCAAGTTCCCGTGAAATGTCAACAACTCCCCAGCTCATTCAAAACCTGAAAATGGCCCATTCCCCTTCCACTATGAATTAATGCATAAGACATTAGAAATAATCTGAGCATCCAGTAACATGACCACCTCTAGTAAACTTCTTGGCTACTTTGTTTACAAAGGAAAACAAAGCAAAGCATCCCCCCACCCCCCAAAGCATCACATAAAATAACAAACTCCAAAAGTTTCCAGTCCTAGTGTTCTCATTTTCTACAAACAATTCAATTCTCCCTAAAGCCACCTTCGTTCAAGTTTCCCTACTTTAGTATTTGCTCTCGCAAAATATTCTATTTTCTTCTCGCAAAGCAATGTTGTGCTAACAACATTAAATTCTTATTCTTTTGAACTATCTTGCTAAAGCAAGCATCAGTTATATCAGCTTGAGGATCTGTTCAGTTCTCACTTAACTTTCTCAGTGAGGAAAAAAAAACCCCACCCTATCACTCCATTTCATTCTTTGCCTTCTGAGAATAGTAATACTCTCCACCACAAATTCAGCTGTATTCAGGACTGTGCATGTGCCACAGCAGATTAGCACTGCCACAAAATACTTCTACAATTTTTTAAATAAACCCTACTGCTACTGAATCTCATAAGGCTTTTTTCTTTTTGCTTGGTTTGGTGTCCCCCCTCCCACCCACCCTTTCTTCTGGCACCAAGACTCGATTCCTTGCACATCCCCTTCAATAGTTCTACAAAACCCTAAAGAACTAAGGCAGGTTAATTTGATGAGTGCTGAAGATACAGAAAGTGCAGAGTTTAACACATACTATTTTATAGTAATAGTTTTCTTCAAGTGTGTATTCAGTTAACAGAAACCCAAGTCTAGCATAGACATGGGCCTATCTATACTCACTATGTGCAGCTGCAGAAAATCACCAAGCCCAGGGGCACTGTCAATCCGAACAAGAATGCCATCCTTCACTGTCGTGCTGAAGCCCACAGCAAGACGGTCTGTCCTTGTGCTCGGTCTGTCATTAGCTGGCCAGGTGTACAGGATGAGACCTCCACTCTTCCCAAATATATATGTGGCACCAGCTAGAAAACACAAAACCAAAAGAAAGAAGTATTAGTTACTTATTTCATTTATTTATTTGCCAACTCTGGTAATAACGCTATGACTTCCAAGAGGAATATAAGCAAGCATATGCTTTCATTAGTTAAAGGGGTGAAGTTAATGCCTCCTGCTGGCCAGGCTACTGATAGCATAAGAATCCAGGAAAATTAATTGAGTAGATGATGGAAATATGTGTTTCCAGACTCAACCAGGTAACAGAAGTGGACAACACATACTAAAACCTTTCTATTTCATGACAAATGACATTGTGATACCTCTCTGACATTGGAATTGATTCCATATGTGTTATAAGACACACATGAAATTTAGACTGCCCTTTCCAACTTCTCACATGTATTCTTCCTTGTATAAAATTGTAAATTTTCCTTTGTAGAGCAATGGCTCTGAAATGCTGGATACTTTTTCTGATGGAAGGAAATATGAAGGTGAAATGGGTTTTTATCAGACAAAACATATCCGTTCCTTCACCATTAGGCTTGCACCACTAGACTCGATAACAAACAACATAATTCCCTCCGTATGGAAAGTTCATCCTTCAGATGAGCATGGACTCGAGACTCACAAACACTTGCAGAAAGTAATCTAAGTGTGCATGCATGTTATTCAGAACATCCTCATCTTCCTACGCACATCACAGCAGGGGAACAACAAACAAGCAAGCTTCCTCTTAAGGTATAAATCACTCAAGAATTTTTTTCTGTATACAACCTGTTAAAGTACATTTTATTAGTTCCTAAATAAAGACAAGCAGCACTGAAGATAAAGGTAAGTGAAGAGCTTATCAAGAATGAATGATTTCATTAGTGTTAATATCCCAGACAATGCCAGATAGGACACTGCTCTTGGGGGGGGGGGAGAACAACAAAAAAAACCAAGCCACACCTGTTTCAGAAGCATAGGATTCAATCTTATATGGGGATTCAAAGGGAATATTTGGCAGCTCTCCTTGAGGCTGGGCTTGTCTTCAGCTGAAGACTATTCACACACAGTGGGAGACTATCCTTTTCTCAATGTTTCCTAAGCATTTTGGATATCTAGTCCACATATTTCCAGCATCATTCATCTTTACAGTGAGCCTGGGAATTCGTTCCTTGACCTTATTTTTAAGGACAACACCAAACCTCTCCAAAGCTGAACACTGTCCTCCCCCATTCACGAGGGTCATCTGAGCTGAGCAAGACAGACACGCAAGTGAGGAATTATTGTTGCAGATGAAGAAGCTGAGAAACAAAAGCGTTTGGAGTTCACGTTCTCACTTGTACTCAACGCTCTGAGTTAGGAGCAGGATTTTATAACTCAGCAGTTATAAAATCAGCCCATGAGCTTCTTGGAAAATACAGTTAAAATTGCTGTCCTAGACCCAAATCTACAGGCAGGATAGGAACAACGCTTCTCAATGCTTCAGCCACTTAGCATTTCATTTTCTGAGCACTATTGCAACGGTTCACAAGCTACAGAATAGTAAGCCAAAATAACCAGCTCCCACTACTACATCAAGGATGAAATATCTGTAGAAAGTACAGACCGTGTCGTGGGTACATTTTCAAGTCTGAGTGAAACTATAACTGATGATTTTTTTTTTCCCCACCATGTACCAATCAGCAACATGTATCAAGCAACCCCAAATGGAGTACATGTAATTAGATACAGAAACAGGTGGGATCATATATGGGTAACTTTTACACTTGCCTATAAAGCTGCAGCTCCACTAAAGCTCTTCATGACCTGAATTCAAAATATATACAACATATTAGTAGAAATAATTGATACACTTCCCCCTCGCTTAAGAGGCTTCCTCTAGATATCTCAGCACACATTACCAAAACAGACATCAACAACTCAGGCACACAGAAGGGAAATTATTTGTGAACAGCTGACTCAATGACAGAGTGAAAATGAATCCTCATTTCCTTCCTTCCAGGTCTGGGCATACCCACCAGAACATGCTCAGTAAATTCAAACAAACGTGTCTGAAATCAGGGTTACATAGGAAATTTCACTCATAATTCTGAATTAACAGAAGAGCACATTGGCATATTGGAACTGTGCACATATATAATTTCAGTTCCAGAAAGATTAATTTTACAGACTGAACTCAATCTCCTCATTCAGCTTTGAACTCAAGATGGAGGGTGGACGACTATTGAAAAAAATATGTAGAAAGGCGTTTTCTTTGTCTGTTTAAATGCATCTCCAAATATATCTCTAATCTCTTGGTTAGAGAGATAGTTGGAGATGACTAGGAGATGACTAGGTAGTGAATTATTCCCCCCATGCACAGGTATATCAACAGCCCACTATAAACTACATTACAAATATCCGCCCTCAGTTTACCAGTTTGTTCTAAAAGTTGTGTGTATTTCATCACAGACTAAAACAAAGCATAGCAATGCGTTAAGTAAAACAAGATGAGTTAACTCATTGTTGATGACTTCATAGATTAAAACCCACCCAAACTATTCTCACTTGAATTGCAAGTTCTCTTCCTTTTCTTTGTGCTGATTATCAGGCCCTTTAGCAGCAAAGACAAGCTTAGGAAAGAGTTCTTTGCTATTTATGAAGACAGATGATTTCTTTGCCTCTCTAAGAACTATTGGGTGCAGGTAGAGCATGTCAGTGCTCCTGTGAGCGCCAGTTAGAACCAATTATGCCTTCATAGGCCTGTCACGGGACTTAACTGCTTAACAGAGATCATTTTCTCCTCACAGAACACAGATTTTTGCTTCTAGGCCTAACCTGAAGATATTCAGTACTTTGAGTTTGTGCACAAAGATCATTCAGACACAACAACCAGAGCAGCACTGCCCGAACTAACCTGTTAACTGAAGACTGGTGGCCAGCAGTTGTTTCCTTATTGTCCAAGTCAGAATTATCTGCATAATTATAGATGGGTCACTTGTTTGTTGGGTACGTCAATGCCCCTTCCCTTCCCCACCTTTTTGAGGGTATACAGGATACCCGTTGCCTTGTTTGGAAAGAGATGGCATATTAACGTTGTAGCAGTATGACTTTTCCCCCAAAGTATGAACAAAATAGTCACTCCAGTCTGAAAACACAAGGTGCAGACATCAAGTAAAAGTGGAAGAGGAAGGATAACAAGAGTTACTACCACACTACAATCACATTACAACAACAACAAAGAAAACAAACACCAACCCCTCCCCCCCCCCAAAAAAAAGAAAACCCAAAACCTCAAAAACCCAAAACACAACACAAACATACTTGATTTAAATGTTTCTATTTCACCGCAGCAACCATAAGTTCATAGAGTTTAAACCTCCAAGAGAATTGAACAAGACAAACAGTAGAATTACAACCCTGGACTTCAGAAGGGCAGATTTCAGCTTCACCGGAATCTGACAAGGCCTCAACAACTCTATCTGGTTGGTCTTGCTTTAAGCTGGTGTGAGTAAGCAGGTTGGACTAGTGTACCTCCAGAGGTCCCTTCTGATCTTAAATCGGTAACTATCCTTTCTTTGTGGTCTTGCAGAAAATAGTAGACTAATTAAGTGAAGAACTCAGTTAAGAAAAAAGCTGATGAAAGTCTGTTCCGATTGACATCTTCTCATTGCACCTAATTTTTCTTACAGACCTCTTTATTACACAAGAGCACACATTTTTTTCCAAGACACTTTCTATTCAAGACAGACAATGGATAATACACTGTTAATGAGCAGCCACTTGATATTTAGTTTTTTCTCATTGTTCAAGGTTTAGTTATATACCTCCTTTAATATAAAATACAACACCAACTGTGTCCTGAAAATAGAAAAGTCTGAGGGACTGATTAATTCCATTGTATTTATTGTTACAGTGCTTCACCACTTCAACTATGTAACACTAACTTCAACCTATACTGTGCAAAAAAAGAAGAAAAAAATAAATTCAAAGATACAAGCACACAAAATTATTTCCCCACCCAGCTGTGAGAAAATCCCACTTCTCAAAGTGCCCTGGGCCAGATTTACTGTACCGACATGTGAGAACAAATGGGAACAGAATATGTTCAGTTACTCTGCTGCAATGGTGCACATGGAATTTGGTTGTCATTAGGAGCTCAGAGAAGTGAAGAAATATATGGTTAGGGAACACTCCCTACAGATTTAAGCTACTAGGACGCCACCACATGTTTAGCATACTCAAAGCTTATAAACTCATAAACTTATGGTTTGGCAGAGTGGCAGTTAACTTTTCCCAGAAATGACATAACTTGTAACTATAAAACTTACAACTTTTGGTGTTTAGAGATTTAAAAATCAGAGAGATGGATATGTTGCAACACACGTGACAATGCTGTTATTTAAAGTCTGCATATCTAGCTTAGGCAAATCATGTATTTGCTAGCTGTATTCATGGACAGAGCTGTTTGATTATTTAGTTTCAGTCAAAACAAAATAGTTCGAGGCGAACACTCCTCATGGAAAATTCCTAAAAGTTATAAGCCACAGCAAATAAAGCCTCCTAGTGAGTTGTGCTAAGAAACATTTAGTCGAATTTGGCACCACCACCTATACTTTAAATCAGTTATCACTTTTTCCTCATCATCGCCCAAAGACTTCAAAAACCTAGCTTAAGGAAGAGTATCCTTCAATCAACACAGTGCAACTGCAGCAGCTATATCCTACCTAAAACTAATCCTGTAAAGCAGTAGAAAACAAGTCTGTCACATTTGCACAAGATATAACTTCTTTTGTGCCTCAGGGATCCTGTAAGTCTCCCCATATTAAATATTCTATTGCAAATTCTCTATTTGCATCTACTAAGCTATCAACAGTCCATATTGCCTCAGCTACAGCACAACACATACACTAGTTTCACTGTGGCCAGGAAAATGCAACATTTGACAGGTATTATAGCAATGTTTATATATTGAAGGATTAACTGCAGCAACTGAGTTTAACAGTTCAGATTTTCACAATTAAAAAGTGCTTTTAAGATTAAAATTATGAGGAACCCAGGC